GTACCCCACATCTTTAAAATAAAATATAAAAAAGGAAAAACGTAAATTAAAAATAAAAAATTATTTAATGATTTTACAATTATTTAGTTAAGCATATGTATGAACACTGTGTAATTCTTTCAATCTCTTTCAGTCTCAAATTTTTTCAAAATAAATTTTAGGAAAAATCTCATTCATCTACATCTCTTGAGTCTCTGTCCTAATTATCTCCCAATTCATAGCTATTTCTCTTAGTTTCTTGAAAATTTTTCTCTCACATCACTTTTACTTTATGCTAATACAGTATGGCTTATATGGTTAAGAACATAGATTCTGGAACCAGATAACCTGGGTTTGATTCCTGAATTCCACCTTAATATGTCTGTGGATAATTTTCAAAATCTCTCTGCTTCTCAATTTTAAAAATGGAGTTATTGGAAATTAAAATATAGTAATAAAAGTAAAAGACAACAGATGTGTTTGATAGTGAAATAAATACCACTGAAAAATTATTTGTAAGCTAAAAGAATGCCCGAGAATTGATTTAAAATATGGTATAAAAGGAGAAATATAAAAGACAAGGCAGAAACATGAATGTTTCAGTAATTATTCCATTTAAAATAAAACATCTTTCTCAAACAAGTTTAAAAAATTAATGTCTATTGGACATTAATATATTAATATATTAATTAATTAATACATTAATTACAAACAGGAGTGTTTTATTCCAGTAACTCCAGGTCTATTTCTGTGTGATTCCCTGAGTGCTCTTTTGTTTATTTACTTCATTCCCAAGATGGTTTCCCACTTGATGGCAAAACAGATACAGGTTGCACTATATTTCACAGCCGTACACAGTGACTGCCATTGTGCGATCCACTTGTCATATGAAGGAAAATATTTTTTCAAAAACTTTCAGAAAACTCACTTCTGTTTCTTTGACCCCAAATAGGTCACATTCTCTTCTTTTGACAGACCTCTGGAATTCATTGTTGCTAAGAGATAGAGTGGATATTGCAGAAATACATAACAAAACTCATGGTACTCTTAGAAAAGGGAAAGAAATCAATGAATATAAGCCTAACAACTAAAAACGTCCACTAAAGTAGACAATGGATCCAAGAGACACAGTACCCATCTAATTCAGAGCTTCTCCAACTTTTTTGGTCTCTGAATTCCTTTATACTCTTAAAATGTATTTAGAATCCTAAAGATCTTCTGTTTATGTGGATTATATCTATCAATATTTACTATACTAGAAATAAAAATAAGAAAACTTTAAAAAGTATATTAATTAATGAAACAATAAAAGTAACAAATCCATTACATATTAACTTATATGATTATATTAAAACATATTGAAAAAAATATTTATTGAATGTCCAAATATGTCAAGCACTGTTTGAAAACATAATATGAAATTGGATAAGGCATGGTTGATACTCAAATGAAGAATGTAGGCCTTCAATTTATTATCCAACAGTTACAATTTACTATCTGTTTTTTTTTTTAATGTTGCTTATATCTGGATACCTCTCTTCTTTCTTAAAGTATTCTCCACTTCCAATTGTCATCGCCTAATGTATAAGTTATTAAAATTAGTGTAATTGCTTCCGTTCTCTTTCCAACCAGTTGCCAAGTTAGTTTTCTAAAAGAGACAATTATATTATTTCGTTGCCAAGAAGATTCCAATGCCTCATGCATCTAAATAAATTCAGATGTCTTTGGGAGGAATTTAAAAGTCTCAGTATCTTGATCTGCTTCCTCCCTTACTTCCCACGTTCACCAGGGGCTCTCCTCAACAGTTTGCCACCATATGGACGGTCCCATTTTTCACCTCCTCTTCCCCTACCCCTGGTACCACATTCATTTTCATAATCATTGACTCTGGTCATGCTCATTTTTGTTTTTTTCCCAAATATCAATTCTCCCCCATCATATTAGGTACAGTTAACTTCTTCTGTTAATTAATAATGCAATCCAGCAGGCTACATGGGTCTTCATTTTCTGAACTCTCAAGCATGTAGAGAAAAGACAATATTGATTCAAAGTCTAATTCATTCAGATGACCTGGATAGACTTGGGCAAGCTACTCAGTCTTTCAAAATATGATATTTCTACTGAGGAAATGCATGAAAAATAATGCCTAAAAGTCAGATAATATCCATAAACAGTCTACTATAGTGTCTAGCAAATAAAAAATTCATAAATTAGTTTTTGTTTTATATCTGTACTTTTAAGTGATGAACAAATATTCTTTTGTAGTTATCAAGAATTTTCACTATTTTCTGCCTCATTTATGTTTGAATAGTATCTCAGTCATTTTCAATATTCATTAAAACCAGTGCACATTGGTGGTATTTCTAATAACAAATGAGGAATGATACAAGAGTTTTTTTTTAAAAGCTTGATTTAATAGATATATTCAGATATTGCACTGTCATATATGATGAACAAATAAGTAAACTACATGAAAATATTTATATTCATAGGAATTTTAGCATAGACACATTTTTAAACAGTTAGATAAACTACCATTATATAGATACTCTGTTTCTGAGAACATGAGAGTAAATATTACTATCACTAAATGTAAAAATGTTCTTCATCTGAACATAAAAATTATGCATTAATTCATATTCAGCTTAATCTCTTGAATGAATTTTTAAAAGTTGAGACTCAAATTCAATCCTAGGTTTACTTCTCACAGATAGTATTTATTGCTTAAGAAGGGATTGTTTTAGAACTTGGACCATGACTTTGTTCACAAGAGTGTGCTTTGAGATTCCAGAAATTTGTCACCAATTTTAAAAGGAAGCTACCTTTATATATACTGACTATTCCTGGTATTCTATTCCTAGTATTTGTTATATTTGTTGAAAATTGGAACTACTTACACTGACACAATTACTTACTAAGATAAGTAATTTCCTCTTGAATTAATTTGTAGCCTCAAAAATAAATATTTAATAACTTAGATTTTGAAGTACATTTTAGCAAACTGTCTGCTTTTTAAACTTATTTGACTCACATATCATCAAGTTTACTATTTTATACAAAGTTTTCACTTTTTACTATCTTAGCATTCCTTGATTTTGAAAAAGGTTTAATCAAATTATAATCAACTTTCCACAGGGGATGATATTTGTTTTCGCATTTTAAAAATATTTATCTTCTTCACAATTCTTCTTTTCTTTTTTTGATCAGAGTATCACTCTGTCATCCAAGCTGGAGTGTAATGACACAATCATAACTCACTGCTGCCTTGACCTCCTCAGGCGATCCTTCCACCTTAGCCTCCCAAGTAGCTGGGACTAAAGATATGTACCACTCTACCCAGCCAATTTATTATTTATTATTTTTTTTCTTTTTGGAGAGACAAGGTCTCACTATGTTGTCCAGGCTGGTCTTGAATTCCTTTCCTCAAGCAATCCTCCAGCCTCCCAAAGTGCTGGAATTACACACGTGAACCACTGCACCCATCCATGTTTCTTTTCATAACATTTATTATTTCTTTATTTCTTAGGCCATAGATAAAAGGATTTTATAAAGGATTTATTAGAGTATAGAAAACAGCAATGGGTATATCTTTATCCCCTCCTTTAACAAGACGTGGTCTACTGTACACACAAAAGGAAAGAGAATCATAGAATATCAAGACAGAGAGAAAATGGTATGCACAAGTAGATAAGGTGTTGCCTCTTTTTTCTTTGGGTTTCATTTTGAAAAAGGTTATAAATTAATGGATGAGAAGAGATGTATCAGATAAAGTATTAAAAACAATCTCAATATCTAATGATAACAGATCAGTTGAAACAGATCAGTTGATAACAGATCAGTAAACTTACAACAGAGCTCAATCTGAGTGTTTAAAAAAAAAAAGAAGACCATTACCACATACTGATTTGAAATGATTTCCAGGTTGAGTTTTACAGTAAAAATGAAAATTATAAAACAAATTCAAAGCACAGAGTGCATGTATGTGTCCACACACACACAAACACAAGCACAAACACAAACATATGTAACCATTTGACTAAGAAAGAAAGAAAAACAAAAGTGCATATATTTGTATTTGTTTGTTTTCCTATTTTTTAAAAAATAAATACAGGAAATATAGACCAGTAGTCTTTGAAAATCATTATTTATAGGGCCTCTAGAAAAATGTCTAGTGGTATCATATCTTACACCACAGAATAATAAAGAAATTAAATTTTGAATCTCTAAAGAGAAAGAAAAATGAAAACATTAATAATAATGGCATTTTAAAAAGTCAATGTTTTCATAGTGATTAGGAAAACACATAAATCTGGAAACTGGTAATTATATTTATTTATTCTGCTTATTCTATGTAAATTGTATCTGTTTTTATACACTCAGGTTTGTCTTCAGGAATGCAATAAAATTTTGAATTTCTAAAGAGAAAGAAAAAAGAGAAGGAAGTAGACAGGGATGGACGAAAGAAAAAAAAAGATGAGAAGGAGATGGGAAGGGAATAGAAAAAAAAAAAAAAGGAAAATAAAAGCCAAGCAGAGAAGAAAGAATAAAACAAAGGATCCACCAATATCTAGAAAATTTGATGAAAAAAATGCTAAAGTTTTTAATTCTGAAATTTAATAAACTCAGAGATAAAGAAAACATACAAAATGTTTCCAAAGAAATAACAATGGGGTGGGAATCAGAATAACATGAAATTCCTCAAAAGCATCACAGCGTGCTACAATATAAAGAAAGATTATCTTCAGCATTCAGAAGAAAAATTAATTTAAATTTATAATTTTAATCAAATCAAAGTATTAACCATATGTGAGGAAAAACCGCTAAAAAACAATCTTGGCAAATGAGAGAATGAACCAGGAAGAGGAACATGGAAAGCTTGAAAACTCTTATCTTTGTCCCTTATATATGAAAACATTTTAATAAAGTAAAATCACTTGACAATAGAGGATGAAGCTTCTTTAAGAATATTATACTTCCTCATAACTTTTTTGAGGACATTTATCACCTCCTTATTTCTCAGACTATAAATTAAAGGGTTCAGTAATTACTATTGTATAAAATATTGCCACTGGTATATCTTTATCGCCTTCTTCAAATGATCGAATATACATGAGAAGACAAGTGTAGAATATTGAGACTGAGAGAAAGTGGAATGCGCAAGTAGAAAATGCTTTGCCTCTCCCCTCCTTGGATTTCATTTTGAAAATAGTGAAAAGTATGCAGAGATAAGAGATCAAGACAGTGGCAATGGTAAAGATTTGAATTGGCATTGAAGCAACATAAATCATAAGTTCATTGACATAAGGATCAGTACAGGACAGTCTATACAGTGGAAGAATATCACAAAAAAAGTGGTCAATTTTATTAGACTTGCAGAATGTTAATCTTAAAAGAAGCCCTACATGAATCATGGAATGCAGGTTACTAACTATGAAAGCCCCTGTGGTTATCTGAATGCAGAGCTTCTTGGACATAATGGTGTGGTATTGCAGTGGGCTGCATATGGCCACATAGCGGTCATAGGCCATGGCAGCCAGGAGAAAGCAGTCTGCAGTTTCAGCAAGACAGAGAAAATAAAATTGTGCCATGCATTCATAGAGAGAAATCCTTTTGTATTCAGAAAAAATGTTCTCTAACATCTTGGGGGTAATGGCACAAGAGCAGAAGGAATCCATCAGAGCCAGAAGACGATGCTCGGTATAAATTAATGCCACCAAGCCAAGATTCCCCGCCATGGTGATGAGAAAGATGGCAAAGAACACCATAAACAGAAGGATCTTCAGTTCTGGATGATCTGTAAATCCTGTGAGGATTTACTGTCAAGGATCAACTGTCAAGGAGTGATTGTCCTTATCCATTCCTGACATCTCTGCTGAGATATAAATTGTAAAGAAATTCCATTGAGATTCTGAAGCAGAATGTGTCTAATTCTCTCCCCTCTAATTTCCCTATGTACAAACGAGATGCTTAAAATTGTCCTGTATCATCTCCTAAAAACTGACACGAGTCATGTGAAGAAATGCATCATGGATTGTGTACACAGAGGTTGTATGGAATTATCTGTGTGAATTTCCAGGGTTAGGAAGCTTTTTCTGCAATGAAGGATCCTATGTTGATGTTCCAATTTATGGTCAGTATAAAAGACTTTTTTAATGGTATCTGTTTCTCCAAGAAAACAAACAAGTTTTGAACAGTATCCTATGGATTGGATGCTACGTTTAAAAATAAATTGTGCTTTTTACATTTTAAGTGTCTAATTTTTAAAACTACACAGAATCACAATGAGTTTGAAAAATGCTTTTGCTAGCTTAATGACTCCTTCCAGATAAGGTCACCAAGGCACATTTTAAAGAAAAAACTATTCATCCTATAAGACAGTGTAAGAATATAAAACATCTATAGGCTTTGTTAAGAAGTTAATTTGGATATTATTTGTATATTTATTTCATATTCTAGGTTTTACCTCTATCTTGGTAGGACAAATTTATACGGCATTATTTTTCTTTATTATCTATTTATACTAAGTGTTTTATATGCATATCAAACATTAAAAGGCTTGGTGACAAAGTCCCCATTTATAGTTTGAATATTTTTATGATAAATGCCTATTTTGTACTCTTTCAAACATCTCTTGTAGAAACAAATGTCTCCATTTTTGGCAAGCTTCATGGAGGTTCCACATGTATTTACTTAGATAAATTTATAGTCATTATTTACTCCTAATTTGCTACACATTTATTGGAATTCAATAATCACTCAAATTTATTATATGTTTATGATAATTTGGCAACTATAACACTATAATATTTCAGATGCAGAAATAGCATAGATTTTAAAGAGTGATAACATCATTTTTTTTTCTTTTCTAGAAAATGCTAAAAGCCTTTGACCTTCATATACTTCAAATAGACAATTTTGGAGAAGAGCCCATAATGGTTATTCAAAGTATATTGCTTTAAAAACATATTTTAGTTAGTTTTATTCTATTTTTTACTCTTACTATACTGAATTTAAAATACCATATTTTTATTCACTCATATAATATAGTGAAGTTTTCTGGAGATTTATCACTAAAGGCTTATAATCAAATAAATTAAATTGTCAATTACATTTTAGAAATACTTCAGAAGAATAGTATTTGGGGAAAAATGTTAACAAAAATACAAATACTGCTATTATCATTATTTTAATAACTGATATAAAACCAACTGAAAATAGTTACCATGTGAATTCTGAAAAAATGAGGTTCATTTTCCATAGAATATACTCAGAATATAATGAGTAAAAACTCATTTTCTCTTCTCTAATGTGAAATATAATTATTCAATGGAATAAAAAATTAATTATACTACACATCCCGGAATTATTTTACAGGGTCATGTATAACCTTACCTGTGTATTTGCTGACAAAATTATGGTATGTTTGAACTCAGAATAAAGAAAAATGATTCACTTATCGTGTCTTGTTTTGGTTTTTCATAACGTCTTCAACTTAGCGACAAAAAAGAAAATAATTAAGTAGCTAAAATGTAAAAATAAGCCGGGCTCGATGGCTCAGCCTGTAATCCCCCGCCTTTGGGAGGCTGAGGTGAGTGGATTACCTGAGTCCACGGGTTTGAGACCCGCCTGGGCAGCGAGACCTCATCTCTACAATAAATCAAAAAATCAACTGAGTGTGGTAGTGCATGCCTGTAATTCCAGCTACTTGGAAGGCTGAGGCGGAAGGATCGCCGGAGCCCAGCAGGCGAGGCTGCGGTGGCCGGGAGCGGCCACCGCACTCCAGTCTGGGCGACCGAGTGAGACTCCAACTTAAAAAAAAAAAAAAAGTAAAAACAATTGAAAAATTGAAGTATTTTAAAACAATGTGTATTCCTGCATTTTAATATTATGATATAAATATATTAGAAATCAGCCCTCTTATCTGGAGTTCGCTAAGAAATATTTTATAGTAACTGATTGAGCATCTGATTTTCTTGTTTATAGGCAAATTAAGAATAAAAACATTGGTTTTTAAATCATTGGGGAATAAATTATGAAAATCTAAGACAATCTTTCTACCAATATGTCAATGATCATAATTATGTTAGCCTTAGGGCAAGATTAAAGTTTTTCATTGATTCTAAAGGGATTTTCTTGGCATTGGCATCAGAGCATTTCTGCAGAGACTCCTTATCTGAAAGACATGGCTCCCACAGCACTAGCAAACTGAACAAAATTTAAAAATTAATTACAGATGGATGCATTTTGAGATTAGGAAGTTAAATCAAACGACTCTCACTAGAGTTGGCTTAAGAATTTGATTTTTCACACACTTGGAATCAATCTCTTTCTCTCTCTCTCTCTCTCAAATCTTGTTTACCTGAAAACTATAATGGAGAGAAAAAAGATTCATATCAACCACTTGATATGGAAGTAAAACAGAGATTTGAAGAGAGATTTGGGTTTGTGGGGAAGAGGCAAAAACAAAGTGTGATCAACCAGGCTTGTCTGCCTTTCTTTCATGTCCTAAGATCTCACTAAGTCCTTAATATTCATCTTCGGACACAGCTCTGACATTATGTTGTTTAGTTTCATTTATGCATCATTAGGTAGCTTAAAAAACTTTATTAAGGCATAGTTAATATACAAAAAGTCACACATATTTAATGTATATGACTTGATGAATTTGGAGATAAAGTATATACCCACAAACCATCACTGCAATCAATGCCATCTTTGTTAATTGACCATCATTGTTAATTGGTCTCCATCTCCTTCCTTTCTCTGGTGTGTAGACATGTTCTTGTGCATTAGAAATGTTTTTGACTCATTACACTTCAAACCAAGTTTTTGTCCTTTATATTAGTACTCCAAGGGCTCATACACAGGGCTTCTATCACCTATGACTTTATTTTTTACCATTCACTTTAAGAATCCATCTCCAGAGACATACTCATCACCTCTCTACTCTTTGAGGTGCCACATACAGTTCAATCTTGACTCAGAATATTTACTCAGAATCTACTCCTCATCTGAAGTGCCTTCTTTGACTTGTTCCTTTATCCCAATCCTACTCAATTTTTGTGAGTTCTGATTATCACCATAAAGACATCCTCAATTTTCTGACCTGCAAAATAATTACTGTCAAAAATGTCTTAATTGTGCTACACTGGTATGTTCATTTAGTGTTTTGCAAGTCTTGCTTATTCTCAGGTGGACAGATTTTCTTTTAGTTTTCCACATTGCAAACCTCTCATAGTTTCAAAGAATGCAGTACCTTAATAAATGCTTATTAAACTGGTTGCAGCCATTTCAATTAAATTAAAATCAACATTTATAGAATAATCATAATAAACACATCACAATCAGAAATGAGAAGAGAGGGGCCCGTGATAGGAATGCGGTTGGGCAGAAAGCAGCACAGATAAATATAAAATAATCCTGCCTTCATGGGGCTCTCAGTCTAGAGGGTAAAATCATTTATACAGCTATACAGAGAGCAACTCAGACTGAGTTAAGTATTAAAAAATGAAATACAAGCAGAAAATATGGGGACACAAAGAAGGACTTAATTTAGAGGACTAAGGGAAGACATTATCCAAAAAAAAATGACTATTTCCTATTATTTTTGAAGGATAAATTAAATTCCAATAGGCAGAAAATGTGCAGCAAGGAATTATAAGCTGAAGAACAGGATGATAGACACTTAGGAAAACCATAGACACTTAAAAGCTCGACGCATATTTAGAGAGTGGAAAGTAAATCAGAGTAACCAGAGTCTGAACACACGCTAGGAATAGAAGAAGTTGGTGGTTCGAGTTTTAATTGGTTCTAATTCTGTCCCCTAATTTCTGCTGATGCTACTCTCTCATCAAGATTGCTACTTATTTCCTGATCACCAAAACAGAAGCATTTTGTCAATTATTATCTTAACTAATTAACTATAGAATTTGGCATCATTGATTACACTTAGAAACTCATTCACTTCTCAGGTTTCTGTGATAACATTTTTTTATTCCTACTTCTCTGGCTATTCCTTTTCCGTGTTTTTGATTGACTCCTCTTTTCTACTTTCTTCATGAACACACACTTATTTTTTTAAAGTGCATCTTTGAGGTAGCTTTACAAAATTGTGACACATTTTTTTAAATACTAGCCACTAATTTATAAAATGTTTTCCTGACATTGAGCTAGTAAATTGCCATATTCCCGGATGTCAACCAGTTGCAGTTGCAAACTAGTCAAAAGTACTGTGTTCTAATATTAAAAAAATTAAGTTCAAAGCTCATTGAAAATCTTTGTAATACTTTTATGCAGCTGGACTGGAGAAATTCTGTTTCCAGTTTTAAAAAATAAAAGTCATTAATTACTTTAAAAATATTTGTTGGGACCTCACAATCCCCCTACTGGGAATATGCCTGAAAGAACACAAATCGCTCTATAAAATAGATACCTGCACACATATGTTTATCACAGCATTGTTCACAATAGCAAGAACATGGAATCAACCGTGCTGTCCATCAAAAGAGGACTGGATTAAAAAAATGTGGTCCATATACACGATGGAATATTACACAGCCATAAAGAAGAACAAAATCATGAACTTCACAGCAACCTGGATGGACCTAGAGTCTATGATACTGAGTGATCTTTCAGAGAAACAAAGAAGTGAGTATCACACGTTCTCACTCATAAGTGGACCTTGAACAACTATCATAACACTATAAGAAAAAGACTGACAGTAACGGGAGTGTGTATGGGGGAGTGTCGGGGAGGTGGGATTGGC